CTCATTGTACAGTCGACATTTGTGAGATTCGCCAAGTCAAACTGTCCCCAGTGACAAATGGTCACTCAACAGCATACTGCATGATTGCCAATAGCCACATGCGACGACGGAAGAGGAACTTGTGTCGCTGGCGATTGAACTCGCCCAACTCGCCCACGGTAAGTATTGAGAGGTGTTAAAATGGCTACTGGCGTTGTATTGCTAAGGAAAATACTCACTCTGCCCCACAAATATTTCGCGACTCGGAAAAATGACGTACTCCTCCTCAAATAATAATACAGTCACTTCAAGACACTATACTTTGTATAAAATTCAAAATGTGTAACGATGCAGCTGTCCAAGAAAATACTTGTCTCAGAACCAATCAAAATTCGGAATGGGGCTTTCCTGGCAGTGCCATTCGATTCAGGAGGGGGGTTTACCTCGAAAACCCTTCTACCGTGGCTTATAACTTCACGCAATACCCACACCGCACATGTCTGTATGTACTTATTAATCACTATCCTGTCTCTGCATATTGGTTCTATTCCTACTTCGGCCATTGCAGAGATGACATCGTCCGTCGCATCACTATCGCTTAAGGCAATGCACTCGAGCTCCGCCGACACCGCTCGCTCCATGGCTACAGCATCCTTTGCGGCCGGCTTCTCCTTGCAAGCGTCGTACACATCAGACGGACGCTGCACGTTTTGAGGTAGTTGTCCTTTGCGGGCCAGTTCTTCTTGTCCCATGTGGGGCAACTTGCAGGCATTGTCACCAAAGAGCCGCATGGTCTCCACAAGGCAGATCTATAACGAACGGAAGGTCCGGTCCAAGCTATCCATGAGGTACTCGTCAAATACTTGACCAACGATTGCAACGAGCTCATCAATTAGCCTAGCTGACTTCAAATAATCGACCTAGCTGATTTCATTTGTTGTAGGGACTAGATCGTGGCAAAGACCAAGGTCCAAGATGTTGATGTCCGGGGAGTTTGACGGCTGCGGAGCGAACGAGAAGGCCCAGTCTTAGTTGCCGTATTCGTTGAAGGTGGCCTTGAGTTGCGCGTCCAAGGGCGCGACTTTTGCACGGGCATTTTCATGCTGCAGCACCACCGTCTTGTCGGCGTTTGGCCATTTTGCTGCATTCGAGGGTAGGACTTTCTCGAGAAGGAAGGCACGATATACATCCTTCTTAACAGTCGTTGACTTGGTTTCGTAGGTACCGGCCGGGCGGTTGACGCTGGCGCGTAGAGCAGGCATCGGTTCGACGAACGGCCACGTGCATTTCTAGCCGTCCCACCACGCACTAGTTTCGTCAATTTATCTTGGGCCACCAACATCGCTGAGGGCATATCCTTTGTATTGCACCTTTTGCTTTTACATGTTCGTTGTGGTTCGCGCTCCCCAGGAAGAGGTAGTACTTACGAGTGGTCTTTGTAAGATAAAACCATTTCTCGTCCAGATGCACGTAGTGTAGCATTCCGACAGATGCATATCAGACTTGACCATTGTCATGGCAAGCATGAAGCGACAGTACTTGTTAGCGTTGATTAACACTGGGCGTATCGCATTGGAGTGGGCACGAAATAAACCCAGTTTCAAGTATCGGTGCAATGAGCCCCTACTTATTCCTCTTAAATGCTTAGATGAAGTCGCATATTCTGTCATACCAGTGTTATCAGAGATTGAATGAAGCGTTGTTTGTTGTACAAGAGGCACCTGCAGCAGTTTGGTCTTTACTTGCTCAGCAGTGCAAGCCACTTTTCTGCCTACTTTGACTTTCTTTTTGTTTGCTACCGATACTTTCATGTTACAAAGAAAGACGCATTGAGCCTTGCCAAACCAACGATTCGGCGTATTATAGACACGTGGCACTAGTACTTTGCAGCTAGCAACTGACTTGTTCCTTTAGGCAGCCTGGCGGGAAAACTGTTGTTGCTTTGCAGCAGGACTTCCCGAAGGATGGCGTCGCGCTCCTCGTTCGTCGGGTCGGGCCGTGTTGTTGACATTTTGAACGTGTGTCATTTCTGATCTATTCTTATATGGAAGTTTGTATGCTGCCTTTGACTCGGCAAAATTGACCCGTGTTTTTGAGATTCGTGCACATACTCACACACATAAAAAGCTCTTGGAGCGCATTGTGCAATGATCCAATCAGAGGTGTCGCTTCTTGATGTATTCAGACATACGAACAGCCTGAATATACCTTCAAAATATAATAGTCAGTCATATACACCCTTGTCAAACTCGCGCGATATTTGTGGTACTGATGGAGCAACGGATACAGCTAATATCGATATCGAAAATTATTTGTTCGTGACTTGCCGTGAAAATTTAGGGTAACGGCAAATATACGGCGTCGTTGTCGAAATCTGTCCAGCATATGATGAATAAAGACGCTTTAGACCGCTCATAAACTATTCAACCAAAACAGTGATCTTGCTTTCTAGTACACTAATCGCCACTCAATTTGGATGACAAGTAGAATAGTTTCGCCTTCAGTGAACCGGGAAAAACCTCGCGAGCGTTGTACTCGCGAGTATTTCGAAGTTCGTATGCATCAAGAGGACCCATGATCAGTGAGCGAAAAATTTCATGGATGAAGGTTCCCATCTAATTCTGACATGAGGCCACTGATTGGCCAACACAACATAGGAATGTGCTATTTGTATTCTTGAACAGGCGGGGATGGACCGAACCCTCAGTCAATTGAAGTGACCAGTACCC